GTATTTGGAGGTATATTTCTTTGATGTGTCTGCAGCTTTAATTTTGGGTTTATTAATTTTTTTATTCTTTCTTTTTTTTTTTTGCACATCTGTGCAGTTTCCTTTTTCTGTTTACAATGTCAGCTACATGCCCTTTCTATTCCATGCAACAGAGAGAATCTGACCTTCTCGTATGTAACATTAGGTGAAATGAGGTGAAGTGAATCTTGGCAATTGCGATTTACCTATGATGTGGCAGAGCAGATGCCAGAATTCATACTGTTGGGTGAATATTCTCTATCCCCTTTGAGCTTGGGTATTGCAAAGTTCACCAGGTCATTTAACATCTTTCTATATTACGCGAGGCCTTACAGCAAGCACAAATTGACTCCCCTGATGTAGTGCAGCTCCCAACACATAAACTGATCTCCTGTCAGCAGTGTAAGAATGAGCCACCCCTTACTAGTTCACCACTACATCTTTCAGGGCCAGTATTCACAGGCACACCAGAACTGCTCACTTATAAGAGAAGCCTGAAGCACATTAACTGTAGGTCAAATGTGCACGCAAAGAAATTTGAATAATCTCAGAAGCGTAAAGCATGCATTTTGACACTGACCCTTAGTTTCATGAAGCATTTAAATGGGTATTATCTGGCAAGATTACCCACCGCCAATGCCAGAAAAGCCTTAAGACTGAATTACCTTTTTATATTTATTAGCACAACATCCTAAAAGGAGGATAGCATTACAACGTACCTTAACCACTTGCCCTCCAGAGGATTTACCCCCCTTCCTGACCAGGCCATTTCTTGCGATACGGTGCTGCGTTACTTTAGCTGTCAGTTGTGCGGTCATGCAATGCTGCACCCAAATTAAATTTACGTCCTTTTTTTCCCAGCAGAAGCTGACAGGGGAGAGGTCTGTATTGTTTTCATACAGGTCTCTACCCCGTCGGAAATCCCTGGAGATCGCCGGGTGCTGGCAGGGAATCACCCTCCGGGACCCGGTGATTGGCAGCTGAGACCACGAATGGCGACACGGGTTCCTACCCAGAACTGCAAAATCATATGATTTTAGCAGTATTTCTGCTATAGGGTGGCACAGAAGTGGTTAAAGGATAAGTTCACCTTTGGAACATATTCCATGTTCCATCTGTTTTTAAGGTGGAACATGTAACATGTTCCAGCATTTGCAGCCCTCTCCCCCCATCCCCTCCCCCCTGATACGACAGGTAAGGAATCTTCTCCCCGCACCTGCTGTCAGAATTTGAAAATAGCGTGGCCATGCTTGGCTCCACCCACATGGTTTCATCATTCATTTACAGTTTCCTGTCGATGAATGCCTGGTACTGTCAGTCATTAAATGAACTATGAGGGAGCTGGTGAGCGCTCTGGTAATTCACTTTTTTCTGCTTTCAGGTAACTGCCTACCTGTACAATGTACAGGCAGACAGCTACACTGAAGAGTCTGCACAAATGGTCTGCTGATGATGGATGCAATGCTTTGCAGGCTCCTTATAAAAAAAATACATGCACATTTGTGACGGAGGTGTGGGGGGAACAGAACACACGCGGAGAGCAGTGGGACACAAAAGGCTTTTATTGGGTGATTTGGAGGGCACATGATGAGTATAGCAAGGTTCTGGCAAAACAAAAGTTAAGTCCATACCACAGGGTGGGACACACGACAAGGATCACCGAGTTCTGGTAGGCAACACGGGGGGATAGGCCTTAGCACCATCTGGGTTCACAACAAGGAGGCAGACTGGCAGGCAATGGGTTAAGTCCAAGTGGCACACAACAGGAAGCAGTCTCTGGCAGGCAATGGGTTAAGTCCAAGTGACACACATCAGGAAGCAGTCTCTGGCAGGCAATGGGTTAAGTCTGAGTGGCACACAACAGGGAGCAGTCTCTGGCAGGCAATGGGTTAAGTCTAAGTGGCACACAATAGAGTGGCAGACTGGCAGGAAATGGGTTAAATCCAAAGGGCACACAACAGGGTGGCAGATTGGCAGGCCATGGATTAAGTCTGAGTGGCACACAACAGGGAGCAGTCTCTGGCAGGCAATGGGTTAAGTCCGAGGGTACACAACAGGGATCAGTCTCTGGCAGGCAATGGGTTAAGTCTGAGGGCACACAACAGGGAGCAGTCTCTGGCAGGCACACAACAGGGAGCAGAACTCGAGCGGGCAAGGATTAATTCTAGGTTGGATCCTCAGCACAGGGGGTGGCACACAACAGGGTGGCAGAACTCTGGCAGGCAAGGATTAAGTCCAGGTTGGATCCTCAGCACGGGGGGTGGCACACAACAGGGTGGCAGAACTCTGGTGGGCAAGGATTAAGTCCAGGTTGGGTCCTCAGCATAGGGGCTGGCACACAACAGGGTGACAGAACTCCGGCGGGCAAGGATTAAGTCCAGGTTGGGTCCTCAGCACAGGGGTGGCACACAGCAGACAGGCAGAACTCTGGCGGGCAAGGATTAAGTCCAGATTGGATCCTCAGCACAGGGGGGTGGCACAAAACAGACAGGCAAAATCTCTGGCAGGTAAGGATTAAGTCCAGGTTGGATCCTCAGCACAGGGGGTAGCTCCCAGCAGGCAGAGCAGAGAGGGTTAAGTCCTTGGCACAGGGTAGCAATTCAGGGACTCACCTGCTAGCATTGGCACCAGCAGAGGAAGTCTAGGCAGATAGGCACCAACTCCTCACGGGTCTTCAGAGGGCTGTGTGTCTTGGCTGCAGCATCAAGACCACACAGGCAATGTAGAACCACATGTCCCAGCAGTGCACAAAGCAAACCACAGTTTGATGCATCTCCTAGTGAGGCATGCAGCCATGAGCTGCTCTGTCTATCCTGACAAGTTCTGCCAATTTTCCCCCCATAGGGACATTATATGGTCCTTTCAATTTGACCAAGCCCCAAACCCCCGTGCCGACACATCTGGCTTTTCACAGTAACAGGACACCATTCTGTCTGAGCTCCCTGCAGAGATCAATATCATCTCCCATCCCCTGCAGGGCACAGGAACTTCAAATTTTAACTAAGCAGACAAGCAAGACTTATGAACACACGTGTTAATTTCAACAAACAACACCAAAATAAAATAATATTTCTGATCTCCGTCACAACATTTTTTTACCTACAAAAGTGCATTTTTATTCTTATCCTTTAATAGGTCTATAACTTCACCGGTGGCAGAAATTCTCAATATATAAACCCCTGTACCCTCCATGGGTAAACTGGATATTGTTCAAAACATCTACCAAAGACCAGCAGAGAGGGGTGGGGGATTGTATAATTTCGAGGAAGTGCAGTAGTAAACTATCAAGGGGTCATTTGGAGTACATGAATTATCTGCAGTGAACATCTGATTACTGAGTCATCTGATTCCCTAAAGACCCAAGTTCATTTTACCTCATTTCACCTCCCTTCACGCTGTAGTAAATAGGGACCCTAGGTGTCAAGGTGTTTCTAATAATCAGTTTTAGGAATTCATTTTCCACTCCGTGTTGAATCTGACCAAATGCTTTGTGCAACACGGACACCTTCCTTCAAAAAAAAAACAAAAACTAAAGCTTTAATTCCAAAATGAGGTCTTTATCACATCTGTTTTTTTCCCTACAGTATCTGTTAATACAATACCAACAGAAGAGTAATTATTTGATTTGGTTGAGTTGAATTAGTTGTGATCTCTAAAGCAGGCATAATTAGCTGATTACAACAGTAAGCTACATAAATATATCACAGAGACTCATCAACAAAAATTGGACACAGGTGGCTAGAGCCAGCTAAGAATTAGTGCAGGCTTGGTTGGACATATCACATCTGCCTTCAGAACACATCTGTACAAAGCCTGCTTGACCCTTTTCATTTTTTTGTACCATTTGACAAATATTGCATGAGATGAAGGAATGTCAAGGCTAAACTCGCCAATACAGATGTACAGCATATGCATTTTAATTAGCTGAAGGCAAAATTACAAGTCCTGGAAAGTGCTGTGGTGGTTTGGCAACTGAAATCTTGCATTGCAATTAACTTGCAGGCTAGGAAAGTTATTAGAAAGCTCATATCACTTTCTGAACGGAGCAGACAATTAGGGTTACGGCACAGCACGCCTGTGAAATAAAACTGCAACATATGTTCATCAAGGCCTAATTAACAAACCATCTCAGTAGATTTTTTTTTCAGTGGGATTTTATTGTTCGCTTTTGAAAGGAATCTGTCACCAAAAAATAACCACGTGGACACGCAGAAATGTAACTAATTAAATTAAGTAATGTGTTTCTGTCAACTATGTTTGTGCATGGATAAATGTCACAATGTGATCCAAAATGTACAGTGGCTGCAGCCATTTGAGATACATATTTGTAAAACAAAAAGTACCCCAGTCCAGTTACTGTAAAATGAGTTGTAAATAAAAGGTGGCAAACTGCTAAGGCTATTCCTCCTTCCCAAACTCTCTATCACAACCAAGGCTTTTCAGCAGGAACTTGGTGGAACTCAGTTTCACCACCTCTGGCTCAGGCCTACTCTTACCTACTCACCACTATCACTTGTAAATGCAGAAGTCAAGGCTTCTGTATTTCCAAGTGACAGCTTGTCTCCCAACAACTCTGTGCAGGATGAGCACAAGGGAGATGCAGGTGCCCAGGGTGCAATGCAGATGCCGAAACCTCCACTGGATGATCTCCCTGCAACTGAGAGAGGCAGAGCCCCCTTCAGTATGTAGGGAGGCACTGGAGCCAGCTGGGCACTTCAGCCTACTACAGCAACAGAAATAAGACATGTGGAAAAGGGTGGAACTTTTAAGGGGGGGGGGAGATAGGGGGAGTGGGGGGTTGCATGCAGAGGTCAGAGCTGAAGAGAGGTGAAAGTGAGATGCAGAGGTAAGCAGCTGTAGAAGAAGGCTGAACTCTGTGCTCTGTATGCAGCGCACCCCTGAACTCTACACTATGTACGTAGCATACCCCAAACTCTACACATAGCATACCCTTGAACTCTGCAATCTGTGTGTAACCCCCCCATACTGTGCACTTTGTACACAATGCACTCCTGGTGTTTAACCACTTCCCGTCCGGCCCATGTATATAAACGGCCGTATGGGAGCAGTACAGGGGTGGGTGGGCTGTTTATAAATGGCCTCCCCGCCCCCTGCTTGTTTGCGCTCCCTGGGAGTGCGCAGCACCACGATCCGGTGCCCGCTGTGTCCTCCGGACACAGTGGAACACCAATTGTTGTACGGGACCTCTATGTGAGGTCCCGATCATGTGATCACTGATTGGCCAATCAGTGATCACATGCAGAGTGTAACCGCGTACACACAGAGATGGACGCGGTTCAACCATTTTGGCTTCAACCCCCATCTTGGGAAAGGGGTTAACCATCCTGACAAACATATTTCCCCCTCATTCTCCCCCTCCCTTTCTGAGAGTCACAGCGACATTTGGCCAGTGTGTATGTGTGTGTTAGGAGGGTCACAGGAGGCCAGGGCCCAGCAGGGGGCTAGGAGCTATAAAGTCCCCAAGGGAGCTGGGGCCTAGCTGTCCGAAGAACCTGTAAAATGTAACACCTCGTATAAGATAAGGCAAGCTTTCCCCCAGAGTTCAAGACATTCCAAGGAAGGCATGACCAGCTAACACTTTTAAAAATCCATTTTTCCCCTATATCTCATATCTTGGAATATGAAAGACTTACATAATAACCAGACATATCATCAGATTGGCTAAGAGAAGACGAACAATTTGATATGTCACTCGCCTTGTCTCGAATACATAGGAAAGCCGAAAAATAGATCTCATGAACCGTTCAGTGTAGAATTTCATAATTCATATCGAATCAATCCTCAGACGTGTCTGCATAATAATCTACCCGCGGGTGGAATGTCACTTGTGCATAGGAAAAGTTATGAGCCAAAATATGAACTAAACAAGATTTTGTCTCTAGTTTAGGTTCACACCCAGACCTCCACACTCTAAATGGGTATTGGTCCTTAACTTCAGAGACACCCCCTGCTGGGGAACTACAAATTGGGCTGTCAGGCCTAAGAAGAGTAACTTGAAGACGCTCCCATTTTAACAACAGTACCACCTGGGGAGACCCATGCCCTTTCGCTCTGAAACTTGGATCTGCTAACCCAGGACTGTGGCAAGTACCTTAACCCTTTCACCTCTCTTTGATATCTCTTTGCTGTGCTGTTGGTCTCTGTATATATTATATATATATCTTAGTTACATCTTTTCTGTAAATATTTTTCTTGCACCCGTTTGACCTTTTAGTAATAAATCTTTCCTTCTGAAAGTGTTGAACTGTTTCTATAGTGCTTTATTGCAATTTACGAATTCCTGCCTATAAAGAGAACGCTACTGTGTTTGTTTAACCCTCTCTATAACCGTGTTATACAGACGATTACCTCAACCATTATAGTGTTATAGCTGATATCGCCGAGTTTCCTCTTTCTCTGTACAAAAAGGAGGTGGTGGCAGTGTGAAGGGTTAATTGCGTAAAAAAACCTGACCCTGTAACAATCGCTCAGGCTGCCGGTACATCGATCGTGGTCCAATTAGCTGAAAAATCATTGTGCAGGGTGCAGCTGGGTGTGGCATTGTTACGCACGTGACATCACGGTTTTAGATCGGCTAGTCCTTTGGTCACGAGCTTGGTGAAAAGGGCTGGGGTCTGACGCCGCGATCGTGACACAGAGTAGTAGGCAAGATGTTACTTCTGACATCATTGCTTACTACGTGTGAAATCTGTGAATGATCACAGAGGTCACATGGTATATAAGGCTATGCACAACAGCCCTGTACCATGTGACAAGCTGTGACCAATCACAGCTCACACAGTATTTCTCAAGGGCTGCATGAATGCAGCCAGACAGGAGAAATGATTGCTTTTACAGCCTTTATGGGTGTAAAAGCAATCAGTGTAAAAAAAAAAATCTTCTAAACCCCCTACAAGTAGTACAGTGTCACTATGGTGACACTGTACTGCTAGGGTGACAGTATGTAAAAGAAAAACCCCCATAAATAATATATATAAAAAAAATAAAATAAAAATGTAAAAAAACAATTTAGAAAAATTATAATTTTTGGTTATAAACTAATTTTAGTTATTTATTTTTTTTGCCAAAAAAAGATAACTGAATAAATTGTGGCCAAGATTTATGAATAAAGATAATTTGTTTGCAAACTTTTATAAGAAAAACACTTTTTTTCTACATTTTTGGACTTTTTCATTTATATAGCAAACAAAAAATAAAAATCCCAGTGGTGCATAAATACCACCAAAACAGAGTTTTATCTGTCAAAAAAATGCTAAAAAATGTATATGGGTACAGTGTTGCATGACCGTGCAATTGTCATTCAAAGTGTGATAGAAAGAAAGAATATTTGTTTGCAAGAAAAAAACACTTTAGTCATTTTTTTTTACACAGATAGAGCTTTCTTTTGGTGATATTTATTCACCACCTCAGCTAAATGACAACAGTGTTACATTACTGAGTAATTGGCATTCAAAGTGTGAGAGCGCAGAAAGCTGAAAAGTGGCCTGGACTAGAAGGGGGTAAAAGTGTCCGACTTGAAGTGGTTAATGCCCCTTTAAGACCCTCCCACTGTTATTGACATATGACAACACCCACTATTTGATGCAGTTTGGAAGGTGTGTGTGTGGGGTGTGGGGGGGGTGGGGGGGTGGAGGGGGGTTTTGAGGGTCGTGGTTGAGTTCCTGCAACTAGTTTCTCAGAAAAAAAAAGCTCTGATCACAACCCAGTAGAACGTTGTGCTGAAGTTCATGGGACTACGAATTCCTCATTTCAGCACCATCATGAACTTTGTTGATGTTTGTGATGAACGTAGGGGAAGGCACAGATATTTTTCTATTAACATAATAAAAATATGTTGTTGCTTTTGCTAAAGCTGAATTCCTGGAACATATAAACACAACTTATTCCAGTTATGCAATAATTAAAAAATCATGACAGTTAGTTTTTGACATAGAACTAGCATAAGTAACAGAAACTGTCTTTTGCAGATAGCCATATGCAATCCTCTGTACAGCAGAATTTAGACTGGAAGAGGGAGGGGAAGCATTCTGAGCCAAGTAATGCTCTACTGTTCACAGTAAAAGGTAATGCTAACAGGAGAGAAGGGTACAAATATTTCCTTATCAGCCTTTGATGCTCCTTAAAGTGGTTGCAAACCTCAGAAATGAAATATGAACAAAGCATATCCCTATATTGTGTGTACTTGTTTCTATCCAGAGAAATAAGTGTCATTTTTGTCTGCCGCCTCATTCCTCTGCTATCATTATGTGTCACTTCTTACAAGTTTTCCTGACATCAAGAGAAAAAAAAAGTGACAGGTGAGGGATCTGCAGCAAATGTGCAGCCTTAGCTGTGGTCCTGTGTGAAGGGAAGGGGGGGGTGCATCCCTCCCCTCCAATCAGCTCTCAAAGCTCTCCTCACTGACATTAATTCATATCTCTGCTCCCTACTTTTTTAGAGCTGAGAGATCCTGTGTAAATTCTGGACTTTGAAAGGCTGTAGAGAAGAGAATAATGCAGATAAACAGGTAAAACTTGTGCAGAATTATTTGTTTCATCTCTGTGTATCACCTGAGGCAAGTCACTTCACTGGGTATACAGTGTGTAAGGATTTACAACCACTTTAATTATCCAGTGATATGCTGAGGGAGGGTAAATGACCAAGTTGTATTTCTTAGCTGCAGTGGAGAAAAGTGAGGCCACCATACTGGCAGTGTGTTTGGATCACAAGCTAAACAGAATGACAAAGCCTCTGGCAGGCCAAACAGTTTTATCCACTTGCCAACAGTAATTATACTGCAGCGGGGTGGCAAATGCAAGCACAATCACGTACATCATTGTGCTTGCTCCAGGTTACATTCTAATGCACAATTCTCACCGTATACGTTCCTGGAAAATGGCTATATATGTAAGCAGGTGCTGCAGCAACCATTGGCTGGAACCAAAGACAGTCAAAGCGAACAAACATCACCAGCACACCATGGATCTCCAGAGTGGGTTCAAAGCTTTTCCCAGTGATCCCTACTTTCTAATGCACAATTCTCACCTTATACGTTCCTGGAGAATAGCTATATATGTAAGCAGGTGCTGCAGCAACCATTGGCTGGAACCAAAGACAGTCAAAGCGAACAAACATCACCAGCACACCATGGATCTCCAGAGTGGGTTCAAAGCTTTTTCCAGTGATCCCTACTTTCTAATGCACAATTCTCACCTTATACGTTCCTGGAGAATAGCTATATATGTAAGCAGGTGCTGCAGTGACCATTGGCTAGAACCAAAGACAAAGTGAACGAACATCACCAGCACACCATGCATCTGCAGAGTGGATCTAAAGCTTTATCTAGTGATCCCATTGTTACCGCAGAAGCAACATTTCAGTGCTTTGCAGAATCCCTTCATCAGGCATGTGTGGTCATCACAAACTGTACTTACAGTTGCAAGAAAAAGTATGTGAACCCCTTGGGATTACGTGGAGTTTTGCATGAATTGGGCATAAAATGTGCTCTGAACGTCATCTAAGTCACAACAATAGAAGAACACAGTCTGCTGAACATAATACTACACAAACATTAGATGTTGCCATGGTTTAATTGCACATAACATGTAAACATTCACAGTGCAGGGAGGAAAAAGTATGTGAACCTTTGGACTTAATAACTGGTTGACCATCCTGTGGCAGCAATAACCTCAACCAAACGTTTCCTGTAGTTTCAGATCAGACCTGCACAACGATCTGGAGTAATTTTGGACCACTCCTCTTCACACAAAACTGTTTCAGTGTAGCAATATTCTTGGGATGTCTGGTGTGAATCGCTCTCTTAAGGTCATGCCACAGCATTTCCATCGGGTTGAGGTCAGGACTCTGACTGGGCCACTCCAGAAGGCGTATTCTGTGCTGTTGCGGCCATTGTTTTGTTGAATTACTTGTATGCTTTGGGTCATTGTCCTGTTGCATCACCCATCCTCTGCGGAGATTCAGTTGGCGGACAGATGGTCGTACGTTTTCCTGCAAAATGTCTTGATAAACTCTGGAATTCATTTTCCCATCAATGACAACTATCCGTCCAGGCCCTGAGGCAGCAAAGCAGCCCCAAACCATGATGCTCCCTCCGCCATGTTTTACAGTGGGGATGAGGTTTTGATGTTGGTGTGCTGTGCCTTTTTTTCTCCACACATAGTGTTGTGTGTTCTTCCCAAACAATTCAATCTTGGTTTCATCTGTCCACAGTATATTTTGCCAGTAGTGCTGTGGAACATCCAGGTGCTCTTTTGCAAACTTCAAACGTGCTGCAATATTCTTTTTGGACAGCAATGGCTTCCTCCGTGGTGTCCTCCCATGTACTCCATTCTTGTTTAATGTTTTCCTTATTGTAGATGTGTCAACAAAAATGTTAGCATGTGCCAGAGATTTCTGTAGGTCTTTAGCTGACACTCTGGAATTCTTCTTTACCTCATGCAGCATTCTGCGCTGTGCTCTTGCAGTCATTTTTACAGGACGACCATGCCTAGGGAGAGTAGCAACAGTGCTAAACTTTCTCCATTTGTAGACAGTCTGTCTTACCGTGGACACATGAACATCAAGGCTTTTGGAGATACTTTTGTAACCCTTTCCAGCTTCATGCAAGTCAACAATTCTTGATCGTAGGTCTTCTGAGAGCTCTTTTCTGCGAGGCATGGTTCACATCAGACAGTGCTTCTTGAAACCAGTAAACCCAAAACAGGTGTGTGTTTTTTAAGGGCAGGACAGCTGTCAGCAACACATCCAATATCATCACACTGATTGGAGTCAAGGTTGGCTCACTCCTGGCTCCAATTAGCTCTGGGAGAAGTCATTAAGCTAGGGCCTCACATACTTTTTCCTCCCTGCACTGTGAATGTTTACATGTTATGTGCAATTAAACCATGGCAACATCTAATGTTTGTGTAGTATTATGTTCAGCAGACTGTGTTCTTCTATTGTTGTGACTTAGATGACGTTCAGATCAAATTTTATGCCCAATTCATGCAAAACTCCACGTAATCCCAAGGGGTTCACATACTTTTTCTTGCAACTGTACTATACTTCGGTTAGTGAATGACAGAGCTATTCCTGGTCATTCATTCTGTGCAGCTGAGACTGCAGAGTGCTGTCTCCTCAATCTCCTTTCTCTGTCTCAAAGATGAAATATCAGAGGTCTGTTTAGACCCCTGGTATCTCACCAAAGCACACCAACGGAGGCTCCTAAAGAAATAGTAAGATATGATCAAAAAATAAAATTGTAAATAATAAAATGGTAACAAATAATAAAAATAAAACAACAAAAATAAAAAACTGACACCAGTGGCAGAACTACCAGGGTCACACTTGCAACCATGCCCTGGCGTTCTGCCACCATGGGGGGCCCAAGACAGCAGGAACGGGGCCTGCAGCAGAACATGTGAAAGGGTCTCGCTGTAGGACCCTAATAAAGGGCTGTGCAATGGAAGTAAAGACCCTAGCTCTGTGGGAAGGGCCCTGGATCCAGAGGGAAGGGCCCCAGGCTCTGAGGGAAGGCCTCCGCCGGGGGTAAGGAGGGCCCTTCATGGCTTCTTCCACCGGGGCCCTGAAGGTTCTAGTTAAGCCTCTGGTTTCCTCGCGCCATAGTATTGTGATAGAAAGAAGCACATTGAGGTTGATAATTGCAAAAAAAACCTGAAGTACATCCAGTGAACAACAGAAGTTGGCATAACGCCTCAACATTCACAAGCAAATTTGCCCATCATTTGACTGTATTTACCCTCATGCTCATTTTATATAACAAGCAACTTACTGACCTTTAAAGTGTCAGCCCAATGGTTATCAGGTTAGATAAACATCTCAGTATTGCTGCT